TATTATCTCTGATAGCTACTTCCTGTGTTTCCTCTGTTTTCACTCTTGATTCTATTTTTAGGTTTTTTTTTTTTATATGATTTCTTTGACGAACAGGAATTAGAATCGTTGCGGCTGGCGGCCTTAGTTCGGGTTAGCTAAATTTCCCTGCACGTCAAAAAACCCAAATTTTTCTGGTTTGATATTTTTTGTTATTTATTTTGTTTGTTTGATTATTTGCTTTATGATTTCGTTTTCTTTTGGTTGGTTTGTTTGTTTTCGCTCTATATTAGCGACAACTTAAAGATTTAGAGGGAATGTCATTTCGACCAGCAAGAAGAATTTGAGTAGAAAACCCTTTCATTTGTAAAGACAAATGAAAGGATTAATCAGAATAATGAAAAAAAAAAGACAGAAAAACGAAAGAAAGGTTGGCAAGAGAAACACTATCGAAAATATATTTTTTCCAATAATACTTCGGCATTGAACTTTAAATTTTTAATAAGTTAATAGCTCTGTGTGGTTTTGTGTGGCGCCCAAAAAATTAAAGTAATTTATATACAGTAGGCCTCAAAAAGTGTGACGTATCGTTGATACGATTTTTCTTCGACGCCGTAAAAAAAATTGGGACTTTAGCGGTAATCCATAGCTAAATCTTGGCTATAGTTTGATTACTTTGATGACTGATTAAGAAAATGCACTCGAGAATTAAATGTTTTAATGATATGAAAGTTTCCTATCGATATTGTTTACACTCCAGTGGTGAAGCAGTTACAACTGCACTTATGAAATATTTATTCGCCTTGCAGATCCTGGTGGTTGGTGATAAACAGCCAGAAGACATCTTAACTGAGGAAAAAAGATCGTCGGGTTTTCGTGAAGATGACAAATTCAACTTCAAACAATTTGATTTTCAATCTCACGAAAGAAGGACTTGGTGGCATCTCGAGTAATGTCACTCAAGAGTCCAATGAAAGCCAAGTAAACATTTACTCAAAGGCCTTGAAGCTCGCTTTGTATACAATCATCTTTCTGGTCAGCGCTATTGGAAACATTCTTGTCTGCATCATCATATTCAGGAAGCGAAGGATGAAGACGGTCACAAATTATTTCATTCTCAATCTGGCTTTCGCCGATCTGACTCTCACGTTGATTTGCATCCCATTTGACATACCTGTTCAAGAGATGAATTACAGGTGGCCTTACGGGTCGTTCATGTGTGGTCTCCTTTATCCGCTTCAGACTATGTCCTTATTTGCATCAGTGTTCACACTAACAGCGGTTAGTCTGACTCGTTACTGGGCCATCCTGCACCCATTAAAACGTCAGCTTAGCACCAGCAATGCTAAGTGTCTGATTGCAATTATTTGGCTGCTGGCCATAGTACCTGTCTCTCCTTACATAAATGTTCTGGGAATCGGCGAAACCGGGTCGTGCGACGAAACCTGGAAAAATGTTCACAGCAGGAAGGTTTACACGGTGTTCCTCTTTGTTGCACAGTATGTTGTTCCTCTGAGCATTATCGCCGCAGCGTATGTAAGCATTGGTAGGGAGTTAGGTAGGAAGAAGTCGGACACAGAAAACAGATCCCTTCAACATGCCAAGAACGAAGAAGCAGCCAAAGTTACTCGCATGTTGGTTGCTGTAACGATTCTGTTCGCAGTTTGCGTTCTCCCCACGAATATCATGTGGTTATGGCTGGACTTTGGCAAAGCCGAGGAGGAATTTCCAGAATTTTGGGAGCTGGTGGCATTTTGCAACATTCTAACTTTTGCTAACAGCGCTGCCAATCCAGTGTGCTACACCATAACAAACGCAAATTACCGAAAAGAAATCAAGTATCTTCTGAAAAGATGGTTCAACGGGCGAGAAGCAGGTTCGATAAGATCTGACCATATGAGAATGCTAGACGTTTCCAAAGACCAAAGTTTCAATCGAATGACAGTTGATACTTCAATGTAAAAACTCACACTTTTACTGGGATCCCTCGTTCAAGTGTTCATTTTTAAATGCTGGGGCCAAACTGAAGACTCTATAATATTCCCCTCGTGGTAAGATTCACTCATTAACGCAAAGTTTTTTTTTGTCGGAACGTCAATTAAGAAAATTACTCTCTAGGCTCTTCTCTCCGTATCTCAACGGTTTTCAATGCCTACATTTTGCAACAAAAACCAGAATCCTATTTTTAATTATTTATTTATCTTTTTTTTCACTTCAGCCTGGCTAAGGTTACCGATGCTACATTTCGGGTTTTCAGTGCAAATTTACCTTATTTTAATTTTGCATGATAAGTGATTGCTTTTTTCCATCCGAATTCATGTCTTAGCAAGTTACCTACTAGATAAATCAGGACCAAGCAACCCTGGAGGTTTCATTCCTGCTGGTATCACTAGTTTTAACAGGTAACCGGTCAAGTCGCCCAAAACCTGAGTCATGTTGCCCAAAATTTTAGTAATGTCGCCCGAAAAAAAAAGTCAAGTCGCCGGAAGAAACAAATACTAAAAAGATCAGATTTTCAGACTGTCAATAGGCAATAACGTTGAGAAATTTTTTATCGCTAAAACGCTCTTTGTTTCCGACAACACCATGAAGATTCTTAAAGTGTTGTTCGTTCCTAACAACAAAGGGAAACGTTGTTCATTTGACTATAAACCGTTTTAACAAACTGCTCTCTACAATTAGAATAGTGAACAAATATCAGTAAGAGACATATAGGAAGTACACAGTTGGTAAAGTATATAAAGTTACTTAAAAGAGACTTAATAAAGGTAATGAATAAGAAATGACTTGAAGAGAGATTTGCTGAGGAATATGTATGAAAAACGCCTTGAGCGTTCGAAATCTTCGTATGGGACGAAGAACTTTTACAATCAAATGAACGACACAAATGGGGTGAATGTCAACCATTCACTTTGTTTAACCTAATACCAATAATAGTACTTTAGTTCGCTGACTCTACTGGCTGCAACATTAACAAACTATCTAGAAAACTTCTAAGCTAAGCTTGATTTTCTCATCGTGCATTGTGGGAGGCAGCATAAATTTTCTCTATGCTTTCAAGCCTATAAGACCTAAAATCGCAGAATCAACGGATCGGTGAATACTCACTCTATAACACTAATAGACGAATATTCCTAATGTGGGCGAAATACTCTAAATTTCGGCTAGTGCAATATCGCGGAAATGAACATATTGTGTAAAATTCGACGTCAGCGTGCGACTCATATGTCTATAGAAGGTAAAAGATGGTAAATAGCCGTCTAAATGAGAGGCAGGGGCCATTCTTTATTTTTTTTTGTCCTAATTATTCGATTTGCACATATGCAAGTAATGACCTTGCCTTGACCTCGGTATTAAGGACCGAACACTGTGATCGATTTTTGCAGGCTATTATTTACAGGTTACTCGATGGGCTGTGGGTCACTGAGAATTAATGAGAAAGAAATGCATCTAGACTGATTATGTCTCTGTGGATAGAGCTGCTGCAGTCAAGCCACAAATGGCGTTGCTCTTATTAATCATTTTATATATTAGAACGTTAGTTAAAAATGCATAGATCGAATGCAAAATAACGAAGTTGGAATAGAATGCAAAGACAATACGGGATATTTGCTAATATAACCTGGTTACCATAGAACCTTGATAATTTATAATACTGATTCACTAATGAATTGGTAGACAAACAGGGTTATAACTCAACTGCATTATCCACGAGGCTAGTTACATTACCTACGTTCACTCGTTCGGATCTCTAGGTAAACTATATCATTCTTCGTCATTACCCTTTTAAGGTACAGTGACCCCTTGCTTTACTACTACTTTTTTTGCTTTTTTTGGTCAACATTCATGTCATCACATGGATCTGAAGTTATCGGTTATTGCGAGCTTGTAGGCACCGTTTCATTGAGACGTCCAATCTCATTCCAAGAGAACTATTTTCTCAAAAAGTAAAATTGACCCAGTTTGGAGAATGTCATGATTCATTGCGAAAGGGCCCTCGATGTGTTGAGACACATGCTCTTTCCTTTTCGCCTCATCATCACCATTTGAGTTAGAACCAAAGTAGATATTTATTCGAGAAATGGTTTCTTATGGTTTTTATGACTGAACTGAAAAAGTGTTTCTCACGCTGTTAGAACACATCGTGAGTGAGCTTACATGATCTTCATCACATTGAAATTGCTTCTCACAACGTCTTTTAAAATCGAGCTGGTTGTGAGGAGAGTAATTATAGGATTAATTGAACTCACCTTGAACATTCTGATCCTCTTGAAAGTTTTGCTTCTTCAGAAAGGCGTGGGTCGAAAGGACGCGAGTTATGGACAAAGATGGCAGGATTGGCTACGAAAAGCCTAAATCATTGAAGCACTTGCTAAATGATTTCTGTAGCTATACGACTGCTCATGGCCTTGGGCGGCTATCAGAGAGCAGCAATGTGATCAGTCGCTTGATATGGAGCTTATTTTGCATTGGGGCATCAACAATGTTTGTGCTGCAGGTGTATAACTTGTTTTCCATATACCTCAGCCATCCTGTCTCAACCACGATAAAAGTCGAACATGAAAGCGTAAGTGTTCTTGCCTCACTGAAAAATAGCGAACCATTTTGATTATTCAGGGAGATGCTTGGAAGCATATGCAAAAGAGGAAACAATGGCTGAAAAATTTATCGAATTCGAATTAATTAGGCCATGGTTGAAACGACAGTATTGAATAACTTTGCAGGTTAAAGAGAATCATCTAAAAAACAGATAAGATGAAAACACAAGTAAAAATAAAAAATAAAAAAAAGCAAAAACAACATTAAAGTAAACAAGCCATCAAAAAGATAATAAATCAGCACCAGTGAATTATAACAATTTTGTAATATATAGATACCCCCTGCCCGCTAGTCAGCGATTATCCCTTACGGCAGCCATGCCGGGAGATAAAACATCTTTTTGTAGGGACTTTTATCATCTTTGATCTATATCTATCTAGTACCTAATTAAATATTTAATGATCGCCTGTTTTCAGAACGCTATTTTTCCAGCAGTGACCATATGTAACATGAACATGCTTCGCTTTGATAAGCTTCCAGACAGCTACTTCGACGATATAATTGCAAGTATAAGCTCACAAGGTATGCACTAGGGCACTTATTATTTTTCTAAGGCTTAGTTTTTATGTATAGAACGAACACAAAGATTGTCTAAATTGACCTACTCTTAGACAGAATTAGGACCGTCCAAGCAATCATTTGAAAATGGCTCGAGAAACCTCAGCTTCAAGCAGGCGATCTATCTTCTGTGTTGTTACCGATTGTTTGGGCTTAGCCAGAATCGTCCTGATAGCTCGGATTATATTCGGGACGCTAGACCTAAGAGGAAAGAAGTCTAGAGGACCTTAGTCGCCCAGCCTTTTTGCTTTTTATAAACGATCCTTAACCCTCTCCCTGATGAGATTAAACGCGATCCAGGAAAACAGTCTCTAGAACACGAATTATAAGAAAAGTTTCATAGAGACGGGAAAAAGCTCATAGGGAAAAAAACTACAGGCTTTTTTCATCCATATTTATGAATTTCCCCTTTATTTGATTCAAGTGAATGTATCAATATCGATTGAACAAAGCAACAACTCCTCTGATACTGCGGGCAACTCCACAGAAGATTCTTCTCTAGAGTCATCCGGATCCGGAGAAGAGTACAATGAGGATGACTTTTATGAAGGTGTTGCAGATGCTTATGATTCACTTGGCATCTCTGGGGAGGAAGCTAAAATGATCGACTATCTGATTGAAGAAGCCTTACTCGCCAAGATTGCACAAGAGAATCATTCAACACTGTTCAAATTAGGCCATCAATATGAAGATTTCGTGTTCGAGTGTTCTTTTAGAGGCTATGACTGCAGGTAATTCATTTATGGCCCGTCGTGTCCAGAGATTTATCAAAGTAGAGGATCTGACATGACTAGAGATGCATATTAAATTTCGTCCAAGACAGGAAACATTTTCACAACCTTTTTATTTTCAATGCTCCCGGGTTACTTTTTTCGAAATCGGCATGATTCATAAATTTGGATTGAAGTTAATCTCGTTTAATCAAGAAAGATGGCCAAGTTGCCCAAATATAATGTCTAAAAAAAACTGGGAAGCTATACCCTGCCATAGCTAGTTGTGACGGTTTCAAGTGGATCCATGTGGATTGGTGTTATTAGTATTAACATATATCATACATATCTCTTGATAGTTATTTCTCCAGCGGTTGACTTTCTGCTATATTCAACCTTGTTTTTAATTAATTCATTTGTTTTTTAACTGCAACTCTCGCAGAAACTATTCAAAGCACTGGCACAACTTTTGGGATTTTCGTTTTGGTAATTGTTTCACGTTTAACGGCGGGCTGGACGATTTTGGTAAGCCTCAGAAAATTTTACACTCACATAGCACTGGACCTGCTGGAGGTGAGATAATTCGTGTATATTGCTCATTTCTTTTAAATTTTGCCTTCTCAGAGCACAGCACAGCACAGCACAGCTCTGAGAAGTCAGGTTATTTTCATCTCTGATTTTTCACTGGGTGCATTTTTTCTTAATATTTACATTCATCTTTCAATAAAGGACTGCAAAACGTGCAAGTGTCCTGACTGTGAGCTGGAAAAGATATGATTTCTGCATTGCTTCGAGGATTGAAAAAATATGATTGTTGAGATAAAAAAATAAACATTCACGGAAAGATTAGAAAACAATTGCTTGTGTCCTTATATTTTTTAGTGGGCTTTCTCGCTGAAGGATATTTAAACTAAAAACTATAGAGAAAGGTAGATCACTTATCAGGCAGGTAAAGCCAGAAAAACTTAACTGAAACTTAAATTTACTTGCCTTCCTTAGGTTTGAAATTGAAGCTATTTATAGAACAGTCACAATACGTCTCACAGCTATCCCATACTGCTGGTGCTAGGATTGTCATTCACGACCAGGGACAAATGCCATTTCCAGAAAATGAAGGTTATGATGTTTTACCGAGCCGTTCAACCTCCTTTGCCATCAGAAAGGTGTGAATAAAATATTCTTTTCATTCTTCTATCAAAAGGCCCCTAGCCCTTTCGTCCATTTATCAGTCAATAAATCGGTATTTACCATCCTACTGAGCCACCTCTGCGCTTACTCAATAACAAGTACCAGGCGTACCTGTCTGTGTTTTTGTCCTTC